TTCGTTGGAATGAACCAGTTGCTAACCGGTTGAACAGGTAAAAAATGGCAAAAAAAATCAATCGGTTGGATCGATTTGAACCGGTTCATTTTTTAAAACAAAATTTTAATATATTTGAAATCAATTTTGATTTCTATGATAAAAATATATATTTAAATATAGTGGATATGTATAAGTTATTATTAGTTAATTTATGTATTTAAATGTTTTAAAATGGCTAAATATTTAATGAATAATTTTTTTATGTTTATATTTTAATATATAAATATTATCTATACTTTAGAATATTAATAAATTAATATTAATCTAACCGGTTCAACTACTGATTGGACCAATTAAACCAGACCCAGTAGGTTGGCCGGTTTTTTAGAACCAAACCTTCTGTTTCTATTGAAAAAAAAAAATTGTTGGTAGTTTGAGGAATAAGACAAAAATGGGGGTCTAATCTAGTAATTTCAGACATGAAGGTCAAATGCAATTCTTCCTTTTTTTTTTAATTGAAAAATAATAAAAAAATCAGTTAATGTTAAAATGTGAAAATTCAAATTACGCCCTCCAGATTATCGAAATTAGTAATCAGCTCAAGTTTCTCCTATTTGGTCCGATCGGTGGATTCTAGGGTTTCAAATTCACTCCAATCAGTAATCACAGAGAACAACTAACCTCTCTCCTCGTAAATCAACCATGCCGCTCAATCTTCTGGCGCTACTCCGTTCAATTCTATCACGCCCACGCCCACGCCCACGCCCACGCCCACGCCCAAGTCAATACATTGCGAATTTCAGCAGCCTTGCAAACACAAGACCCGCCGGATATTCGCCGGAAAAAAGCCTCGTCGACTCATGTGGGTTGTCGCCGGAGGAATCCATCGCTTCTTCTAAGGGCGTGCATTTCGACACTCCCGAAAACCCTAACGCCTTTTTGGATCTTCTAAAAAATGAGGGTTTCACAGAACCCCAAATCTCCAGTATCGTGAGGGCACGCCCCAGGTTTCTTCGGTCGAAACCGGAAAATACAATCCTTCCCAAGATCCAATTTTTCCAGAGCTCGCTGGCCGGTGTTTCAAAGAAGGACGTGCTCGCCACATTCTCGAAATACCCTTATCTCTTGGCCCATAGTTTGGAGCGCAAGCTCGCTCCTAACTTGGACATGATCACAAATCTACTCGGCCCAGAAAAGGCCGCAGCTCTCTTCACCCATGGATCGATTCTTTTTACCAGGATCGATCTCCAGAACAGGTTCATCCCTAACGTGGACCACCTGCGGGAGATCGGGGTGCCCACTTTGAGTCTCGACCGGGCATTTATTCAGTGCCCAAGGGTTTTCTGTCAGGAACAGTCTAAGTTCAGGGAACTCGTGCAGGAAGTGAGGGGAATGGGTTTCGACCCGTCAAAATCGGTGTTTGTGCTGGCAATTAACGCTCGTTCGGTTAAGTCCTGTTTGGCCCTGTGGGACCAATCATATCGTGTTTATAAAAAATGGGGATGGTCGGAGGAGGATGTAAGGGCTTCATTCTTGAAACATCCCAATTGCATGCTTTGTTCGGAGAAGAAGCTAACGGCTGTCTTGGAATTTGTGGCTCACGAATTGGGTCGGGAGGCTAGGTCGGTGGCTAAGTGCCCAAGTATTATCTTTTACAGTATGGAGAACAGGATAGTCCCAAGGTGCACGCTTGTTCGTGACTTGGCTTCAAAGGGTTTGGTCAAGGAAGATTGGAACTTGGGTACTGTGCTTGTCAGGAAGGAGGAAGATTTCATGAAGAAGTATGTGTTGCAGTTTGCCGGTGAGGCACCGGAGCTTTGTGAAACTTATGCATCAAGGAAAGCACGGGCTGGAAAGAATGTGGGTTTTGTCAAAATCATGTGTTAGCATAGTGTGAGTGATTGTTGGGGAGGAATGTTTTCGCTGAGGTTGTTTGAGGTACAATTGGTTTTGAGCTAAAAAACGGGCTTCTTGTCGTAATATGATAAGATTGACGATTGTTCTGTGTTCTATATATTTTGTTCTTGTTTGATATACTTTTATTTATGGTTAGTTTGAGTTTGTTCAACCTTTTCAGAACCCTACTTTGCTATCTTAGGGACAATTTTGTACGTACAGTTCCAGGTCATACATACATTTCATGTGTTATTTGACCTTAAGGCATTTCTCTCTTTTTTACTCGTTTTCAAGTGCTGACGATATACTGGTAGAGCATGCAAATCTGTTTATGGAAAATTATTATTTATTACATTAAACTATTGGGTAACTGTGAGTTATCAAGAATGAGTGATTCCCCCCAATGAGTTCAAAGGTAAGAATGTGCTTATAAAGCAAACAACTTTTGAAAGGTCTCACATTTTGCAATTTTTCAGGTTATTCTATCCTGGAATGGACTTGCAATTTCTTCGTTTGCTAGGCATCTAAAATTCTGAAAGGTGAACCAAAATGCACTCGATTTTCAACTATTGGCTATCTTGGGCTGTTGAACTACAAGCCTACAACATCATCTGTTAATTGAAAACAAAAATCACAGTTATTAGTTAAAACCGCAATTTATTGGTTCTTTTATTTATAATGAAGCTTAATTTATTTTTTAATACTTTTCTTTATCATTATCCTTTTTGCTGAAAGAGGGTGAGCTTTTTCTGGACAAAGAAGGGGAGGGATCCTTCATTCTCTTTGGTATGAAAGAAGACTATGATGGCATAGAACCTTCTATAAAGTAGAAAATCGGTCTAGACGATCAATTTAGTATCCGGAAGTTTGTTTGCTGAACTCTCCATTTATGCCCTGAAACACTTAACGCTCAATTCTTGTTTTTCATCATGTGATTTTCGCTTTTCTTACGTGAAGTTCATCCACGTGGCGAAAAGCAATTTATGCGCTGGATAAAGTCGTGGCTGGACTTGTATCATGGAGAATTTGGTAAAGGCTTTAGCTTTTGCTTATCTTGGTGTAGATGATATTTGTGCACCTTTGTTATGGATTCTATTTGGAATGAGAACAAGGTCCTATGTGGATTCTAATGTGAATCGAGCCGAGTCGAGCTGAGTCTTGTAAAATAAAGAAAGGGCCATGCCCCTATGTTTCTATATTTTCATAATTATAAACTTTCGAGATCAGATTTTTCTGTTTTACTCTGCACCTTTGTTATGGATTCTATTTGGAATGAGAACAAGTCCCTATGTGGATTCTAATCTGAATCGAGCCGAATCGAGTTGAGTCTTATAAAATAAAGAAAGGGCCATGCCCCTATATTTCTATATTTTCATAATTTAATTATCTATTTTGTTATTTAAGATTTATTATACTATGATATAAAAAAGAATGTTGTAAATAATAAATAATTAGAAGTAAAAAAATTTCCTTAAAACTACAATTAAAGTGAAATTTTCCCAATGCTAAAAAGTGAAAATTCAAATGACAGCCCCACAAGTTTTCGAAATTACAAATGAAAATTTCTCTATGGGCCCCAAACTAAAACTCCTGTCTATCCCCATTTTCCTCCGTCGGCGGATAATTCTAGGGTTTCAAAATCATCTACCAATCTCTCTCTCTCGCCGCACAAATCAACCATGCCGCTGTCCAATCTCCCGGCGCTACTCCGCTCAATCCTATCACGCCCACGCCCAAATCAACACCTCGCGAATTTCAGTACCCTTAGAAATCCAAAACCCGCCGGATATCCGCCGGAGAAACACACCGTCGTCACCTTCCTGGTCAAATCATGCGGTTTGTCGATGGAGGACGCCATTGCTGCTTCTAAGGGCGTGCATTTCGACTCACACGTCAAGCCCAACGCCTTCATGGATCTTCTCAAGAACGAGGGTTTCACAAAACCCCAAATCTCCAACATCGTCAAGGCCTACCCTAGATTTCTCGTTTCAAAAGCCGAAACCTACGTCTTGCCCAAGATCAAATTTTTCCTCCAGTCGTTCGCCGGCGTTCCAAAACAGGACGTGCTCGCCACTATCTCGAAATACCCTTCCTTCTTAGTGACAAGCTTGGAGTGCAAGCTAGCTCCCAACTTGGAATACCTCAAGAATCTAATTGGGCCCGAAAAGGCTGCGGCCCTTTTCCATTACGGGTCGCGGGCTTTGACGAGGTTCGACCTCAAGGACAGGGTCATCCCGAACGTAGACTATCTCCGAGAGATTGGGGTAACCACTTCATCGCTCTGGCTGGCGTTAAACCAGTGCCTAGGGATTTTTTCTCTGAAACCCAACGAGTTAAAGAAAATTGTGCAGGAAGTGAGGGGAATGGGTTTCGATCCCGAAAGATCGGTATTTGTGCTAGCTGTCCATGCTCGCTCGGGAAAGACCTGTTTGGCCCTTTGGGATCGGTGCTATAACGTTTACGTAAAATGGGGCTGGTCAAGGGATGAAATAATGGCCGCGTTCTTGAGGCATCCAAATTGCTTGCTTTGTTCGGAGAAGAAGGTTAATGCAGTGTTGGAGTTTGTGGTTCGTGAGTTGGGTCGGGAGGCGAGATCGGTTGCTCAGTGCCCCGGTATTATCCTTTACAGTTTGGAGAATAGGATAGTTCCTAGATGCAGGTTTGTTCGGGACTTGGCTTCAAAGGATTTGGTTAAGAAAGATTGGAACTTGAATACTGTGCTTGGCCTTAGGGAGAGAGATTTCATGGAGAAGTATGTGTCCCCGTTTGCTGAGGCGGCACCGGAGCTTTGTGAAAGGTATGCATCTAGGAAAGAACGGGACGGAGAACCCAAGGTTTTTGTGAAACTCATGTCTTAGCTAGCGATTTTTGGGAGAAACTTCTTTTGGAGCTTGGTTGAAGTGTGCAATGACTTAAAGGTGTCTAGTTGTAATCAGATCAGAATTGACATATCGTTCCATCTTCTGCAGATTTTGTTCTAGTTTGATGTATTGTTGTTTTTGTGTATGCCCTGGATTGTCTCTGGTTGTCATGGATTATCTCAGGTTGTCCATTAATACATGGACTGTTTGCACAAAATATTTGATGTTCAAGTTGACTTGAAGCCTTTGATTGATTTTTACTTGCTTCCAAATCTTCTTCTTTTAGAAACGATAGATTTTATAAAATAAAAACACATAATTACAACTAAAAATAAGCTAATCAGTATCTAGTTGAATCTAGGGAGGAACCCGACAAAATGAGGGCCTAGAGAACTACTCTAACACACCCATGAAAGAACCAAAAATATAAAAAGCTCACACCACGAGAGAATAACAACTCCTACAATGAAAAACACTAACAACAAAAATAAAAAAGTAAAAACACAAACATAACACAAAACACTTGATAATAGACCATCACCCTCTTCTCATCCAACAAACAAACTGCATCAAACCGCGACCCAACTCTTGCAAATAGCCACCCACCTAGATGGGACTCCGACCTGAGTACCGAACCGAAACTCCAGTGTACTCACGACTAGCTAGAATTGCATTAGTACCCAAATCTTCTCCCATACGAACCACCCCCAGACCAGACAAAATATCGAAGGATGGCACCCTTCGCCCCAATCAACCAACAAGCTCGCAAGCCCATCGTACGACAGGCACCTTCCCACCTCTATACTGGGGAGGGCGCCGCGACACCTGGAGGAGGAGGCACAAGCAAGATAGGAGACAAGTGTTTTTTCTTTGGGGGAGATTGAGGATTTTTTTGGGGAGGAGAGAGAAAGGAGCACGATTTGAAACTATTATTGCTTATTGCTTCCAAATCTTCTCAAGGTTCCAAAGATGGGGTGTTATTGCGTAATCATCCGCATATTCATCATCGATCATTAGTGTATTAACACTTAGCGAGCACGCACAATATCCCACGAAAAAATTGAATATTTTTCATTGACCTTTGATCAAATGTCTCAACAAAATGTTAAATCAAGTTCATGATTTCACGATAACATTATTATTAGAAAGAACAATACGCGAGACAACATTTTACATGATAATCAAACACGAAAATCTTATGTGTAGCTTTATTCACGAGAAGTGGAGAAAAGCAATGCCACTTTACACGATAAAAAGACGAAAAGTGTATTAGCTTCATTCATGAGAAGTGGAGAAAAGCAAATGCCGCTAAGCTCGACTCTTGCTTATCAAGTCTCCCTTCTTTTTATTCAGCCACTTTGGGTTCTTCTTGATTCAACAGTTCAGATAATCTCAGTGCCAAATTCTTCTTTGCTGAAGGCGAAACGCCATGCCTCCCGATAATGGATTCCAGCACGGCTTCAGAAAGCTGTTTGTTCTCTATCACTGCATTTGCATGCTCGGGAATCGAATCATCTTTCGAAAAACTTATCTGCAGTTAGTATAATCGAATCGAATCAAATCGACTTTACCACTAAAATACATACTCTGTGGAAACAAACTCTCATTCATTAACAAGAGCGAAAAGAATCACTTAACTATAACCTACTTACAGTTAACGAGCCGACTGGCAACTGAGTGAAGAGGATGGAGGCCCCGGGTGGAAAGTTCTCAAGCTTAAACACTTCAAGAAACTTTTCGACGGCTTTCGACTCTGCATCTGTGTATTTCCCAACTGCTTTCCAGTAAGCCACACAGTTTTCAGCTACCTTCTCCGAGTACTGCTGGCCGGTCAACGGCAGTATTGTAGTCACCTTGGTGAATTTTTCAAAGGGACCTGTTGATAACCCAAAAAAAAAAAAGGTATTTGATTTACTTTTTCAACCCACAAATATCAAGATTTTGGTTCACCATGGTGAATTTTTTCTTTACCAGTGACGATATCAGTGAAGAAGTCGACGGACTCCGTTAACTCCTCGGCGCCCTTGCCCTTCCACTTGACGGCGAGCGACTGGACGGCGTTATCCTCCAGGTATACTCCGATGGAGGTGAATTTCACGAACGCACCTCCGATCTCCATTCCCCTCACCCCTGCGCACGTTAGCCCAGCCACCATAACCTTTAAGGAATTAAACCGCCATTTCCAAATAGTACAAAAATTACACACGCAAAAAAAAGCACAAACTCAAATTGACCTGCGCCGCCGAGGAAGAGCGTCTTGGCGGAGCCCGGCGGCTTCACCGCCGGCGGAAACACGCAGGATTCGACCCGGACCTCGGTTACGGACGGTAGCACAGACATGTTCTTAGCCGATAAATCCGCCGGTTGGCTTCCCGACTGTGTGTGCGGTGCAATTGGGGGTGTGAGAGTGAGTGAGTATGTGTAAATGTGAAGTTGAATTTAAAGGCCACCATTGATGGTTGTGGGGAAACGGGAAGTTGAGAAACGGCGTGGGATTAATGACCACGAGTTTCACCTACCATTTTTAGCTTTCTCTGTCCGACTGTTGGAGCATGTAAAGAAGAGCTCAAATAATCGAGTCTAAGTTGAGTCGAACATTGATCTTGTCGAGTGCAAATCGATTTTTTTTCCCAATACTCGAACTTCACGAGCCATGTAAATCGGTGCTCAACTCGACTAATGAAAAAAATAAGAAGGCTCGAGGTTCACATGACTCGAATTTTCTCAAAAAAAATATAAGGGTTTTTGTTTTAATCTAAATATACAATTTTTGGCCTCAGTTCTAATTAGTGGGATATCCGTGCGATGCACGGGGTATACTGTAAATTAATATTTCATTATTTTTTGAATATTGTTAATCTATTTAAGACAACATGATAATTATACACGACTCAATATATCAAGCCAGTAATTTTATAAATTTTGTTTGAATATCTTTTTTAATTTATTTTTACAGCTTTTGCCTATTTAATTATAAATCTTACTATCTATAAGTTTACAAAATAGTATCAATATCTAGATTTTAACTATGATGTTTGTATACAGATTGCTTACATATACTTGTAAAATTAATGATTATCTTGATCTTATAACTTTTTTAACAAATCATATTTTGCAGCTAACTAATGTTTTCCTTTATTATAATTTTAGATGCACGAAATATTAATTGTTTGATAACTAAATTTAAAATTGTAACAACTTTAATCGCTTATACAACAATTTTTTTTAGTAGTAAACTATTTTTTTTTGTTTATATTTATATATTTAATAAATTTATTCAATATATATAATGTATTAATATCCAATTTAAATATTGAGGTAAAATATATATTTCAGTTATTATCAAATTTTATAATTTTAATTATGATATTTGACTATATCATCCTATTTAATCATTTTTCTTTTAGTATATGATAAGAAATATACATTTTTACAAATTAATCGTTTTATTATGTATATAGATATTTCTAATGTAAAACTTATAATTTTTAATTTCACTCGATCATCAAATAATAATTTTATTAATATATTAAATTTAATTTTCAATAGAATATCTAATAAAATAATATATTCAATGGAAATATAATTTTTAATGGTTATGTTGACTATATTTTAGCAATTTTTTTATTACTGTAAATTATTCACTAAGTTAATATGATTCAAACAAAATTATTCTAATTATTTGTTAGATATTTTAAGTGCTTCTGAACTGTTAACATAATTAATAAAATTAATATCTACAACCATGAGAAGATAATATAATTAATCAAATCAATATTTCAGAATTTGAATAGTTTTTTAAATTGTGTCAAAAAAATTACGAAATTAATATTAGGATCATATTAAAATATGTAATCAATCAATATTCTATTTAAGTCAATTTATAACTAATGAATATTAGTCAATGAATAACAAAAAATAATTAATGTTCATATATAAAATTGCTAATAGATAGGCTAATTATATGCTAAATATAGATGAAAATATTTTTCCGCCTAAAACTATATCAATTATAGTAATAAAGATTGGTTCATTATATAGATATAGATATTGATAATTAAATTATATAGATTATTTACGTAACTAAAAAGTCGAGTGGCTCGTTAAGCTTACAAGACTCTTGAAATGATGCTCGAGGCGCGACTCATTTGCTCGATTGAACTGATCGGGCTCTGGTTGAGATTGACTCTAGCGCTTGCGAGCCGCTCAACTCGTTTGAAGCACTTCATACTGCTATAGGTTCGACCTCACTGGTAATCGTAAATATTTATTTTTTATTTTTATTTTGTAAGTTGGATTAATAGACACTTTTTATAGGTATGTGTTTTTGTGTTGATTCAAAACCTTAGGTGCAGTGCAGTTATCGAGTTTTTAACCATCACACCGTATAAATGTGTGTATCACTTCACTAAAATCCTAAAGCAGTCACCGGTAGGCTGAAATTTTCTCAAGCGAAGAGAGAACTCACATTATTATTGTTTTCGTTTTGAATATAAATTTATATTTATATTGGAAAAGTGTACATTAGTAATTGATTTTTATTTAAAATTAGTAAAAATGAGCAGGAAATAAAAGATTTACAAAAATTGGGTAATACCTATAAGATTTATTTTATTAAAATTGGATTTTAAAAAAGATTTATAAAATCTGACGTTCATTTCATATTGCTAACACAATTGAAAAACAAAAGGTAATCATAATTATATATTTTTCCAACAAAAATATTATTCACTCAATCTTATATTATTTTTATATCACATTTATATTTTCATATTAATTATATTCATTCACATCTTAAATTTATCTCATTTTTTTTTATTTTTTTTTTTAATTTCTTATCTCACTTTTCATCAAGACATGACACTATTTTTCAAATGAAATACCTATTTGAAATTGCAAAATGTAAGCAACATATTTTATTAGAATCTTGGTGTATATAAATCCAATAATATTAATGGACATATTAGGTTAATTGTTGTATTATTGTAAGAAATTGCATCTAGGTAGACGGTTTTGCTATGAAGCCAACAATTGGCTCCATAGTGAAGTCATCGTTCTATATACAACAAGTAAACATATCATATTCTCTGATTACTTAAGTAACACTAATATAATTTTATTAAAATTTTATGATTATTTGATGTATACAGAAGGTTGACACCACTATGGAACAAACTGTTGGCTTCAAAGCAAAACCGATAGCTAAAACTCTTCTGTGTATAAGTACAACAATTGATACACATATTAGATTAATTACTATAGTGGTTAATGAAGTTGTTAGAAATCTTAGAATACCTCCAAATTATGGTTGAATTTTACAATATTTTGTTTATCATTTAGTGTGACAATAATGTCCATTTTGAAACAAGTACCATATGTATTTTTCACGCAATTTCAAATTAACTAATGCTAATTTTCTTAATATTATTGTGACATAATAATTCTTTTTTTTTGGTACAGGGACCTTCCGGTTTTCGGATCCACAGGAGAACCGACTAATCCGGAATCGAGCCGGGTAGGACCACAAGGGCGGCAAAGCTCTCCCTCAAGAGTTTTAACACTGCTGCATTCCCAGGACTCGAACTCCAGACCACTGGTTAAGCTGGAAGAGACCCAAGCCATCTCATCCAAGTGCTCTTGGGTATTGTGACATAATAATTGATATAAATGATGTGTAAGTGCACAAGTTTTTGAACTCTAAAAGGTAATTACTAGTGGAGGATAAATTCCAATTAATGATTTAATTGTTCGAATTGATCTCCATTATGTAAAAGGTGGACGATCAAAGACAACTTAGAATGCTGTTAAAACTCTTGAGGGAGAGCTTTGCCGCCCTTGTGGTCCTACTCGGCTCGATTCCGGATTAGTCGGTTCCCATGTGGATCCAGAAACCGGAAGATCTCTGTACAAAAAAAAAAAAGACAACTTGAAGCGACTCAAAATCAACATTGTATTACCAAGTCAATTTTTTTTTTTCTTTAAGACTCATTTACTTTGCTTGATATGATTATACAAAGTAGTCCAATCAACTTTACACGTCAGCATATTGTCTTATGTTTACATTAAGAAATTTCTGAGGTCAAAATGGATATTTTTAAAGAGGGATAAAAGAATTTGGGTCCCCCAGATGGATAATCGGCCTATAGATGATTACCTTGTGGGTCCCACTGGCACATGTACGCCTCCTAAGGTATATTTTATCCCTGTCATTTGAAGTAAACTTTAGTTTTACGGGGATAATTTTCATCATCCTATCTTATCTATTAGAATGTTCATTTGTGAGTTGTCTCACATCGTTTATATAGGGAAAATATGTCTAAATTACAAGTCGAATGAGATACTCCTTCTTCCACCAATTGATTTTGGGATGAAACCTCACTTAGGTTTCATATGGTTTTCTCTGTCTTGGTGTGCTTTACGTGCGTGGGACCGCACTGTTTTTCCTCTCGTTTCTTATACTATCAAGCAAAGTAAATGACGCCTTAATGTAACGATGTGTCTCCCTTACTTGATTATTCAAGTTCTCC